TTGTCTCCTCTTCCTCAGTTTCCTTGTCTCCTCTTCCTCAGTTTTCTTGTCTCCTCTCCCTCAGTTTTCTTGTCTCCTCCTCCTCAGTTTCCTTGTCTCCTCTTCCTCAGTTTTCTTGTCTCCTCTTCCTCAGTTTCCTTGTCTCCCTCAGTTTTCTTGTCTCCTTTTCCTCAGTTTTCTTGTCTCCTCTTCCTCAGTTTTCTTGTCTCCTCTTCCTCAGTTTTGTGACCCCTTTTCCTCATTTTTTTGGCTCTTTTCCTTCAGAATTTTCTACCCCTTTTCCCTCAGTTTTGTGGCTCCTTTTTCTCTTTTTTAGGCTCCTCTTTCACTTTCTTTATGGCTTCTTTTCCTAATTTTTTGTGACTCCTCTTCCACATTTTTTCGTCCCTCTTTTCCCTCAGTTTTCTGGCCCCTTTTCCTTCCTTTTAATTGCTCCTTTTTCCTGCCTCATTTCCCTCATTTTTCCATCTCTTTTCCCTTATTTTTATGTTCCATTTCCCTCAGTTTTGTGGCCCTTTTCCTCATTTTTTTGGCTCCTTTCCTTCAGACTTTTCCCGCCCCTTTTCCCTCAGTTTTGTGGCTCCTTTTTCTCTTTTTTTCTTATTTCTGTTTCATTTCCCTCAGTTTTGTGGCATCTTTTCCTCTTTTTTCATGCCTCATTTCCCTCATTTTCCCATCTCTTTCTCCTCATTTTTATGTTCCATTTCCCTCAACTTTGTGCCTCCTTTCCCTCACTTTTTCCCGCTCCTTTTTCCCGCCTCATTTCTCTCATTTTCCCGTCTCTTCTCCCTTATTTCTCTTTCATTTCCCTCAGTTTTGTGGCACCTTTTCCTCATTTTTGATGCCTCATTTCCCTCATTTTTCCCTCTCTTTTCCCTCATTTTTATGTTCTATTTCTCTCAGCTTCATGCCTCCTTTCCCTCACTTTTTCCCGCTCCTTTTTCCACCTCATTCCCTCATTTTCCCATCTCTTCCCCCTTATTTCTCTTTAATTTCCCGGCGCTTTCTGCCTCCATTTCCTCATTTTTTTCCTTCCTCCTTCCCACCAGCTTCATGCCTCCTTTCCCTCAGTTTTCCCACCCCCTTCCCCTCATTTTTTATCCCTTTTCCCCCCTCAGCCCCCTCAGGACGACGGCATTTACTGGCAGGTGAACCTGGAGCGTTTCCACCAGCACTTCCGTGACCAGGCTCTGGTCAGCGCCGTGGGCAGTCGCATGGACCAGGTCTGGCTCTCCCACCCCCATTCCCACTCCGGATCCAGGCTTTTCCCTGCCCTGAATCCCAGTTTTTCCCTGTGCAGACCAGCAGCGAGGTGGTGCGGACGATGCTGCGCATGAGCGAGGTGACCACGGCCTCGGGCGCGTCCCACACTCAGCCCCTCTCCTCAAACGAGGTGGGTCCTTGGGAGTCCCTGGAGTGCTGGGAATTCCTTGGAATGCCTCTGACATTCCCTGCTTTTTTTTTTACCCCCTATGTAGATATTCCGGGCTCTTCCTGCTGGGTACAACATCGGGAAGCAGGTGCTGGACCAGTACCTGGCGCTCCTGGCTGATGATCCGGTGGGTGCCCCCGGGCTCTCCAGGGCTTTTCCAGCCCTGGCATTCCATGATTCCATGGAATTCACTCTGTAAAAGCCTTTGAAAGTGTCACTATTTGTTGAAGTCGTAGATTTTTATTTTTTTCTTTTCCCAAAATCTCCCGTTTTTTTTTATTCCCGCTCCAGATTTTAAGGGAAAACAACCCAGCCATGTTTTTTTCCTTCTTTGGGGATGTCCTGACCTCTTCCCTGTTGTCTCTCCCTGCAGCTGGAATTCGTGGGGAAGTCTGGGGACAGCGGTGGGGGCACCTACACCGTCAGTATCCTTTGGAGAGGGGGGGGGGACACACTTGGTGTTCCCAGGCCTGAAACATTCCCAAGCTCTGGAATTTTCTCCTTGACCTCACCCCCCCTGCAGACCTGCACAAGGCCCTGGCGTCTCTGGCCACGGCCACGTTGGAGTCCATCGTGGAGGAGAGGTGACAATGGGGACCTGGGATACTCCCAGGCTTTTCCAGGGTTTTATTCCCACGATCCCTCCTCATCCCGCTCTTCCCGCCCAGGTTCGGCTCCCGCTGCGCCCGGATCTTCCGCCTGCTCCTGCGCAAGAAGCACCTGGAGCAGAAGCAGGTGGAGGATTTTGCCATGATCCCGGCCAAGGAGGCCAAGGACATGCTCTACAGGATGCTCTCGGAGAACCTGGTGTCCCTGCAGGTGAGGGAAACTCCGGGATCTGGGAGATTCTTCCGGATGGAAGAGCTTGGCCAGGGGTTTCCAGGCATTTCCAGGTGATCTTGTCTGGGAGATGGCACCAGGGACATCTCTGGGGAGGGAGAGGGATCCCAGCAGGGAAACTTCTGGGGAGGGAGAGGGATCCCACCAGGGACACCTCTGGGGAGGGAGAGGGATCCCACCAGGGACACCTGTGGGGAGGGATCCCACCAGGGACACTTCTGGGGAGGGAGAGGGATCCCAGCAGGGAAACCTCTGGGAAGGGAGAGGGATCCCAGCAGGGAAACCTCTGGGGAGGGAGAGGGAACCCACCAGGGAAACCTCTGGGGAGGGAGAGGGAACCCACCAGGGAAACCTCTGGGGAGGGGAGAAGAACCCACCAGGGACACCTGTGGGGAGGGATCCCACCAGGGACATCTCTGGGGAGGGAGAGGGATCCCAGCAGGGAAACCTCTGGGGAGGGAGAGGGATCCCACCAGGGAAACCTCTGGGGAGGGAGAGGGATCCCACCAGGGAAACCTCTGGGGAGGGAGAGGGATCCCACCAGGGAAACCTCTGGGGAGGGAGAGGGATCCCACC